TATTTTTCTATTTAATGTGTATTTTCCTCGGTATCGGCAGCGTGCGATCATAAATCTTATCCTAATTACGGCCAACTGACAAACTGTCGCCGCCTCCTGCTGATAACCATCATTTAAATTCAGAGATGAGCGGAAACACACGCCTTCGTCATCCCCTCGGGCTACAGATCAGGGTGTGTGTGTGTTTTTCTTTCTGCAGACGCGCACACACACACACACACAGACACACACACACACACACACACAGTATAAAGGGCAGGTCTAGACGTAGGAGAGAGAGCAGGTGTGTCCGGCTGAAGAATGTTCAACCGAAACCAGAGTGAACCGCACTGTACTCAGTGATTCGCTGCTGTAGATGTTTAGTTTGAACTCCTTTATAAACTGTTGGTTTAATCTACAGCATCTTAATCTGCAGGATAAAGGCTCAGTGTGCTTTGGTACTGACGGAGTTTTATGTTGAAATGTGAAAAACAAAATCAAGAAACAGCTACATTTTATAAACAGGGGAACAAAAAACAGAAAAAAGACCCATTTGCAGTTATTTTCTTTTTCAAAATAAAAGTGGAAAAAGAAAAAATGATTTTTCTCCCCCGTTTATGCTTTTATTTTTCAAATACAGTGAATATAAAAACATATAAATTGTAATATGTTTGTAGCGTGGCTGCCAGAAAGTCAGTTTTCAGCTTTGTAACGATGCATTTTCCATTTTAAATATATAACTTCATGTAATAGCCCAGGCTTTTATTTTCTTCAGCCACTGAACTCAACCTGCCTTTATTTGTTTTAGTGTAACATTTAGGAGGATTTATCGGAATATAATATCCACAGGTATGTTTTCATTAGTGTATAATCACCTGAATATAACAACATGAGCTGTTTTTATCTACAGTTTCTACAGTCGCCCAGAGTGGACAAACACCGACTCTAGACAGAAACTACTGCAGTTTCTCCATCACGCTCTGAAGAGGAAGATGAAGCTGCTATGATGCCATTAAATCCTGCACACTGGACCTTTTCTCAACCCATACAAACACTTCATCCTTCAGTTTATATACTCAAATACTCGAGTAAAGGACCTCAATTTGAGCTGAATTACAGTACTTAAGTAAGAAGTCTAGCTGCTGGTGTAGAGACAGGAAGGGTGAGAAGAGAGACAAACAATCCCTCCACCTTTAACACACATATAGGTTGTGGATTTAAGCAGAGCCTCGGGCTCAACGACACACCCCGACTCGTTGCGCAACCGGTCCGCCTGACAGCTACTCTATTATATTCTACTGCATTCTTCTCTATTCAGATATATAAGCTTGTATAAGCTGCCTATTAGGCCACGTTGACCTACAAAACAGCTTCTATTGTGCTTTATTATAATCTAACTCACGTAGGCAGAGTAGCTTTCAAATGCAACACTGATAATTATTTCCATTATAGATTAATCTGTCGATCA